ACGTTTGGCTGAGGTAGGAGGGAGCACAGCAAGGTCTGAACCCCGCCCGGGAAGCAGCCGGGGTGCAGAGCGTTCCCTGCTCCCGTTGCTTATCTCGCAGGCTCCTTTCCCGCTGCGGTGGCCGCGGCTGTGCTGACGCAGCCCGACCAGGGACGGCGCTTTCCTGGTCTGTAGCCACTGATAGCGGCAGCGGCCTCTGGCCAGCTCTGTGCCCATGACCCCATCCCGCAGGGAGCACGTGTGGCGGGCTGCAAAGCGATTTCATTCTGCTGGTGCTTCCTCTGCCCCCCCTGAAGCAGCCTCCAGCCTGCACCGCTGCCGTCCCACCGCTGCCTGTGCTGCTGCTCTCCACTCGGTTTGCCTGGGAGATCCCCCCGCGGGTGGTTCCAGGTGGGCAGCAGCCCTGCCCAGGCCAGCCGTGTCCTCAGCACCCCCAGGCTGCTCAGCATGGTGACCTGCCCCACGGCCAGCCGCCTCCTCCGCCGAGGTCTGTGCTGTCTGCTCCCTGCTGGAGCTGGGCTGTGAGACAGGAGGCTCCACTTGCTCCTGCAGAGCACTCACAGCTTTACAGTGCTCTCCCTCCTGCAGCCCCCACCTAAACCTCAGCCCTGGGGTGGTTTCCTCCCAGTAACACACACACCCACTGCTTGTTTAGATGGGAGTGTTATTTTGCTGGATGCTGTCGTTAGATGCTTGTCTGGACGGGACCTTTGTCAGTAGGATGGGGTGAGCTGGGATCCCAAGGGGTGGCTCTCTGGGAGTGGTGGGGCTGTGGGATGCTGAGTGTTTTGGGGGAGTGAAGCAGGGAGTGTTAGCAGCAAAGGCTGAAGAGTTAATTTTGGGAGCCTACAATACCCCTCTCCTTCTCCTTTGGCTGCCAGGAGAACCTGCAGAGGGAGAGGAGGGGAAGTCCATCTCTCCCCTCCAGCAGGGCAGCAGTCCAGGATGGGGTTTACTGAATACCAACAGCTTTCCTTCCTCCGGGCTGGCAGGTCCTTACGGAGGAGGCTGGGAGCAGGGCAGAGCTGGCCGCTAGCTTCTGGCCTCCTGCTCTTTGGGACTGTCCTCCTGCAGGTCCTCCTCATCCGACTGCACCACGGGGGTCTCTGCCCCCTCCTCGCTGGTGTCCAGGCTGTTCAGGTCCGTGGAGACGGAGGAGGTGGAGGAGATGCGGGACTTGCTCTCGGCCGCGCTGGGCACTTGCAGGGTGATTTCCTCTGGGCACTGGCCGGCGTCTGCTCCTGGAGGAGAGAGTGGCAGGAGAAAGAAAAGGGCTTTGGGAGGTTTGTTGCTCCTTAAGCTCTGTGGATAGCCACTTCAACACATTCCTCAGCAGGCTGTGCTTTCCTGGCTCTGCAGCACCATGGGGACCTCGGAAACTGGGACAAGGCACTGGCTGCTCCAGAGGAACTTCAGGACAAGAGAATTTGTCCCATGGACTCTGGAAGGTGCCTGTGTTCTTCTGTCTTCTGCAGCAATAAGGTATTTACAGGGATATTGATGCAGGCCAGCCCAGGGTGAGGTCCCTCTCCAATCACACAGACCCCAGCACCAAATGTGGGTGCGTGTGGATCTGCACAGAGCATGGTCAGGGCTGAGGAACAAGCCAGTGTAGGCACTAGGGGCAGGAAGGGCTCCCAGCCTGGCCCACAAAAGACTCAGGACTGCACGTACCTGGCAGGGGCCCAGCAATGCCGCTCTCCTCTGTCTCACAGCCCAGAAACACGTCCACGGTGTCCTGGTCTGACAGGTCCATCATGTCCATCTGCTCCAGCATGTCCACGTTCACCTCCATGGAGGAAATACTGCCTAGGGGGGCTGCAGAAACACACAGCAGTGAAAAGGTGAGTGCTAGTGCCAGGCAAAGGGCACCACGAGCCCTGAGCAGGCAGGACCCCGGGGAAGGAGACCAGCCTTGCTGTGGGGAACTGAACTTGGCTTGCTGCTAAGAGTACCCCAGGAAATCATGTCTCCTTAAAACATCCCTCTGGACAGCCATGCTGTCTTGCTGCAGCCCTTGTCCCTGCCCCAGCCTGCTGTCTGGAGTAGCCTGTCTGCAGGCAGTGACCCCGCAGGGTGCCAGCTGGGGTACCCGTGTGCAGTGACGTGGTGTGAGTAACCCCCAGCATGCCCACACAGCGTGTGTGGTCCTGCCTGGGCACAAGACACATGTTCCCAGCTGCACCCAGGCTGGGGCTGT